TTATCTGTGTAGAACTTCATACGGGCTTGGGCCTGTACTAAATTCTCCTTGTGCTGATGTAGCATCTGTTGTCTTTGTGCAATACATGCTCCAACCTGTGAATGTGAGGACTAGGGAAGGGAACCCAACAGAATCTGGGGTGGGGCAAATCCATAAAGAGCCTGAAAAGGGGTAGTCTTTAAGGAGTTGTAGTGGTTGGTTTTGTACCACCACTCAGACAATGGAAGCCATGTAACCCATTGTTTAGGCTCAGAGAATACCATAGATCTAAGATAGGATTCCAAGTAATGATTAAGTCTTTCAGTCTGCCCATCTGTTTGTGGATGGTAGGCAGTAGTCATTGTAAGTTTAGTGCCCAAGGTCTTAAACAGCTGCTGCCAAAATTAAGTAGTAAAAATAAGATCTTTGTTTGATACTATGGTCTTTGGAAGACCATAGAGTTTATAAATCTCCTTCAAGAAAAGACTGGCCACATCCTTGGCTGCATAAAGGTGTTTTAAGGCCAGAAAATAACCATATTTAGTGAGTTTGTCAATAACAACCAGGATAGCATTCTTCTGAGTCGGGGAAGGCAGCCCTTAAATAAAATCCATGGCTATGTCTTGCTAAGGAAACTTAAGAATAGAAAGTGGTTGCAAAAGCCCCGTAGGATGCACATTTTCAGTCTTGACCCTTTGACAAGTGTCACATTCAGACACCCATTTATTAATATCAGCTCTCATATTAGGCCAGTAGAAAATAGCTTGAACCTTTTTATAGGTCCCTTGCTGCCCAGAATGACCCCCTAAGGGAGATAAGTGTAAGGCCTCAAAAATCTTCAGTCTCAGATTAACTCCTCTGCCCACAAAAATCTTCCTTTCAAACCGGATAACTCCTTGAGTTAAAGTATATTTAGGTTTGGCCCCAGGTGTTGTGATCAACTCAGTTATGAGTTGTGTTGCCATGAGATCATGCTCACAACTCATCTCAATCTCTTTCATCCATGTAGGCTCCACAGTAGAAATAGCACACAATTCAGACTTTTCCTCTTGTCTTCTAGACAATGCATCTGCTACTCTCTTTCAGCTCCTCTTTTGTACTGTATCTCATAGTCTAACCCAAGTAACTTGGTTATACCTTTTTGCTGTAATGCAGTAGTCACTCTTTGCTCCAACAAATATTTCAAACTGTGATGATCAATTTTTATAATAAAATGACTCCCTTGTAGGTAGTGTCTCCACCTGTCAACAACAGATAATACAGCCATGTACTCCTTCTCATAGGTAGATAACCCTATGTGCCTAGGGGCTAAAGCTTTAATAAAGAAGGCAATAGGTCTGCCTTCCTGCATTAACACTGCACCCATTCCCTTATCACAAGCATCAGTTTCAATACTGAATGGTTTAGTGAAGTCTGCTAATGTTAGTACATGGGCTGTTGTCGTAGCTTTCTTAAGCTGAAAAATGCTTGTTCAGCCTCTGGATTCCACAGGAAGGCATTTTTCCTCAACAAGTTTATCAGTTATTAGATAATGATTCCATATGACTTGATAAACCTCCTGTAATATCCTGTCAATCCTAGGAACCCCCTCAAGGCCTTAACTGAATTAGGAATAGGCCATTTAGACATGGCCTCAATCTTAGAGGGGTTAGTAGAAACTCCTTCACCAGTGATAATGTGACCCAAGTAATCCACCTTAGGTTGCCCAAAAGAATATTTGGACAACTTAGCAAGAGTTGTTCAGTTCTTAATGTCTCCAACACCTTTCTGAGATGAATGACACTAGATGATATAGAAGGACTGTAGACTAATATGTCATAAAAAAATACCAAGACAAACTTTCTCAAATAGGGCTGAAATACATGATTCATTAAAGATTGGAAGGTGGCAGGTGCATTGGTCAAGCCAAAAGCATGACCCTGAACTCATAATGGCCCAAGTGAGTTCTAAATGCAGTTTTGTATATATCACCCTCCCTCATTCCGATTTGGTGATAGCCTGCCCTTACGTCAATCTTAGAATACACATTTGATCCACATAGCTCATTCATTAGGTCTTCCACTAAAGAAATTGGAAATTTATCCTTAATGGTCATGTTATTCAATTCTCTATAATCAATACAAAACCTCCAACTACCATCTTTCTTCTTAACTAATAGCACATGAGAAGAAAAATGTGAATGACTGGGTTGTATTAGACTATTATGCAGCATTTCATTGACTTGTTTCTCTATTTCATTTTTTTGAAAAAAATTATATCTGTATGGCCTGATACTGACTGGATTTGCATCTGATTTCAGGGGAATATGATGGTCATGATTCCTCTTAGGGGTAGGGAAGTAGGCTCAGCAAATACATCAACAAACTGATGGAGGATTGTGCTGATTTTTGCAGGTATTTCCCCTTTCTTTTGCTCTTCTATAGCTAAAATAGTGAAGAGATGAGCCCAAACTGTCTTCCCCATTTTGAGTAGCTGTTTCACCTCATAAGCAGACATACTTTTCAGCTCCCCTTGGTTGTAAATCCCTTTTAACTTTACTCTTTTCCCCTTGTGAGTCACGTCAACCTTGTACTCTATAAAATCTAGGAGTACAGGGTTGTGTTTTTCATTCAGTCACCTCTTAGAATCATTTCATTCCCTCCCAATCTAATCAATCTCATCGAATCTTCAAACTCCACACCTTGAATCTTCCATTTAAAGATGGAACAAGTGTGATAACTCATCACATGATTTTCATTAGCCACAGTAACCCTCATAGGAGAAGTCTCCTTGATAGCACATCCTATTTTCCTGGCAGTTTCTATGTCTAAGAAACCGTGTGTACTCCCTGAGTCCAACAAAATTGACATATTATTCTTCTTAGACTCACCTCCTAGTTTGATAGTATTAGGAACCTCGGTCCCTGACAAGACATTTAGACTAATTGCCTCATCAACTACTTCCTCATCCTGTAAGTATGGCTATGCTTCTTCAATCCCTACTTCACCTGGCTCATTGGCCTCTTGATCAGTGGTAGCAGAGATATCATTTAATTATCTCTGTTTGCATTGATGTCCAGGATGATAGTTTTCCCCACACTTGACTTTGATTACCCACTGAGTTATTAGGTACTCTAATGGTCTGGGAAGAGTAATTTGTAGTTAAAACCCATATTTTTTTGTGCTTTTTCCTTCTTGTTCAAGAACTCTATCACATTCTCCTGATGTCTAGCCTTCTCCACACCCTTACTGAATGAGTATGGTTCTAGCAGATTAACAAAATGTCTAATTTCTTCCTTGAGCCCTTCAATGAAAAACTCTAAGAAGAAATTCTCAGGTATAGTTGGATTCCTAATCAACACCCAAGCCTTCAAGTCCTCAAATTGCTCCAGATATTCATTAAAAGTCCCTTTTTGTTCTCTGTTTTTAAATTCACCAATAAGATTCAGTTTACTGTTAGTTGCTCCTTCAAATCTGTTACAGATTTCTGTGGTAAAATCTGTCCACCTAACTATACCCTTGCTAACATGATAGGAAAAGAACCAGGATTCTGCCTTACCGTTAAGGTGAAGTACAACTTCCTCCAGTTTCTGCTGTGGATCAGTTATGCGATTGTACTGAAAGTACCTCTCACATTTACGCAACCAGGCACAAGGATCTACTCCTCAAAATATGGGATTTCCCACTTGGAATGAGAGAAGTTCCCTTGAGATCGACCAAATGAAGGTTCACCATTTTCTCTAGCTCGAGCACGATTACCAGACCCCATAATCTGCATTCCTTCAGCTGGTGCACTCCCCAGGATTCCTCCTTGTGGCGCGATCATCTTCTCCAACAACTTATCAATTTTGTTACCTAATTCATCAATCATTGAATCATTAGATATCATGTAACTTTGTAATTGAGCTTCCAACTTTTTGACTGATTCATCTGTAGATTTAGATCTTGTTTCTGCTCCTGTTATCGTAATTTGGCCAGGAAATGGCTCTGATACCAATTTAATGGACTTACTAATTTGGAATTGTAATAGTATGAACAATTGAGAAATGATAGTGAACTTTATTAGAATTCAGTAGCCAATCGAATGATTATTACAAGTCTGTTGAAATTACAATGGAAATTACAAATCTAGAGAATTAATCTGCAACTCCATTGATGAATTCAACCTGAAAACAGAAGAAAGAATTAGGAGATGAAGAAAGAAGAAGAAGAAGAAGAGAGAGAGAATTGAGTGAAGAAACGAGAGAGAAAGAGAGGGAAATGAATACCAGTCCAAAACTGAATTAGTTGGACCAACCCAGTTCTGTTATAACAATCCAAGTCTCTAACTGCTTCTAAATTCTGCACCCTTGGATAAAATTATACTTTGATCTCAGACGTTGTTTATCTTCTTATCTAGGCCATTGATCTATTATTAACTATCTCCTCCACTTGCCACGTGTCCTCTCTTATTACCCCCTTATTTATCTTAAAGCTTCTCATTTCATCTCCTTCAGACCGCCGTTTCCTAATCCTAACATATACCTGGATTAGTTGCCTCTTTAACGTTTAATTACCTTTTGAAATTAACTACCAAAAGTTCGTGATTGAATTAAAACGTCAGATGGCATCCTGTCGAAAAGTTTAATAACTCACCAACCAGTAGTGTCACTGGAAAGTTGTCGAATCCTTTTTCGCAGGGGCGGAGCTAGCCTTGCGGTTGCGGGTTCGGCCAAACTCAATAGCTTTAGTTTAATCCCTATATTTGTCTTAAGAAATCCATTGAATATATACAAATTATTAATTTAAAACCTAGTAGCTTATACTGATTGAAAAACCGAACCCATAAGCTTCATATTCTGGATGCGCCTCTATTTTTGGACGAGCTTAATTTCCACAACTTCTTTGCCGTCGAAATTCCATCAAAATTTTATGATTTCTAACATATTTTAGTAGTGGACTGCGTGCAGGAGCGCGAAGCTGGAGTTTAGGTTACGAGCTTGATCGAACCCAATAACTTTGATCCAAAATTTATATAGTTTATTTTAAAAAATTTATTAAATATCTACAAATTATTAATTTATAACTCAATAAGTTAAAAGGACAATAATTCCGAATCTGTAGCTTCAAATCCTGGTTACTAAATATAGTTTATAGTTATACAAGAAAGATGCTACCAGCAGAAAGAAGGTAACTTAAAAGAGAAAGAGGAGGGAAGATGACCAGTCCTCCTTATGTAATCTGCTTTTTCAGAAGTCTTAACAGCTTTTTCATTCAGCTTTGCTTCAGCGTTGGCTCTTTTCTCCTCTGCTATTCTCCTTGTTGATGCCAACTTATTTGTGTACTTCTCTTGTGCCCTTGCTTTTATTCTTTCTGCCTTCACCTGTACCCAATATAATAATAAAGTCACTCAACATTACCCACTATAATGACAACACTAACCTATCAAAATGACTTTAATTAATGTGAAGAGAAATAATTTTCTAACTTTACTATTGTAAGTGGTAAAGTTAAGTGAAAAGTATATTGATACAAGTACTCGGCAGCGGTAAGTTAATTATTTTCAAAAAGTATATTGATATCAAGTTCGCACCTACTTTAACAAAGAATGGTGAGTGCGGTGGTAGTCTGCACCTACATACTTAGGGGTCGTTTGATATAGGTTATGCTGAGATTAGTTATTATGGTATTATTTTTTATCCATTGTTTGATATGTTGTATTAAAAATAACATTTGCATAATTTATAAGAAGAAGATATAAGTTATCCCGGCACTAATTACCCACCCCTACAAGGTATAAGTTATTCCGATACTAATTTTAATCCCGGAATAACTTATCTCATGTTTGCTAACCAAACAAAGTATTAAGATGGTATTAAATTTTTATCCCATCACTATTTCTACTTATACCTCGTACCAAACGACTCCAGCACTATTTCTACTTATACCTCATACCAAACGACCCCTTAATGTCTTATATTTGCCACTAACAATAAATCAGTTACTCACCGCCGCAAGCAAGATGTGTAAAAATTAAAATGAAAGAAAGTACAAGTGGGGTATGAGGAGGGTAAGATGTATGCCGCCTTATTCATACCCCTGGAAGGGCAAACAGGCTGTTTTCGATAACCCTCGGCTAGAGAATAGCTGAAAAAGAAAAGGTAATTACAACAAGTAGGAATAACAGCAAGATAAAATAAGATCGAATCCAAAAATGTAGTCAAAACTCTAGGTAGTAACAGTCATCTATGAATAAAAGATATCATAATAACATTAATGCAAAGTGAAAGAAAGTGACATGTCAAAATGAATTAAGATTGATTACCTCCATTCTTTTCATTTCCATTTCAGCTTTCCTCTTTTCATGATTTTCCCAAGCTTGTATTTTCACCTCTTCGCGCTTATACCTGCAGATAAATCAATATGTATGCTGTTACTCGTATGATCAACAGAAAGAAAGGGTGGTACAAACAGGCTCATTTAGATTAGCTGATTATATGTAGCGAATAAGCATGAAAATCACTTTTATTGAATGCTGGATAAAAGTTATTGAAATGAAAAAATATATGTACAGTAATTCTTAATCAACAGAGCAGCCTATCTTGAACATTACCTGGCCATGTACTTGGCACGTTCAGCCTCATCCCAAGCCATTGCGCGAGTTTCCAGTGGATTTGCAGGTTCANTCCAGTGGATTAAGCTTGTTGGCATGTTTTGTTTCCTTCTTAGCTGCTAATTCATTGTCAATAGTTTCTTCTGCATCGCGAACGATTCGTGTAGTCCCTGCATTTACCCTGTTCTCACCTGTGGTGGCAACAGTTTGACCATTTTCTATAGTCTGCAGTAGCCCATTGTGGCCCCTAACAGGAGTAGAAGATCCTGAGGATATTGGACTTCTTGCTGCTGGAGTAGTAGCTCTAATTGGAGTGGCAGTTCTTGATGGTTCTTGGCTTGCAATTGGTGTCATTTCTGTTCCCATGTCCCTAACACATATCGATCGAACAGCTGAGGCAGAGTTGTTATTAGAAGCCTTATTGATTCTCCATATTGATTCATCACAATCAACTTTCTTTGTTTCCACTTCAAATTGAATCATACTACTAGAATCTCCCTCCTCGCCACTCGAATAGTCCTCTTTCTTTGGAACTGGTGCAATCAACCTTAAGTCATCAGCATTCGAGTTTCGAGGGGTGGCTTTAGATTGGTGTTTTTCTCCTCCACCTCTTGAAAGATTCACTAACCATTTTTGTGCATCATCCCATTTTGATGGTGTTGGTTTACCTGAGGCTGCTGTTCTATGGTGTGTCGTTGCACGATTTACTCCATTCCCTTTATGAAACTCAAAATTCATATTGCTTCCTCCTCCTACAACCTCTTGTTTTTGTCCATAATTCAAGCATCCTTTGTCCTCTATGGATCTCATTTTTATATACCACAACTTCTTGTACAGTCCCAACAAAATCACCCCTTTTCTTGATTACTTTTGCCTAATGGATTTTAAAGGCAGATCTAGATACTTAAGATTTGTGCTAAAGTTCAGTTTTTTATAAGTAGCAGGAAAGAAGAACAAAGGGAAACATCAGCTTGACACTATTTTTCATCAATCAAAGCAACAGAATAAAGTTTAAGGAAACAATGAGCTAGGAACTTTGTTATGTTTAGTTCTGAAAATGGGATCCACTGTTTGAAACAAAGAACAAAACCTTCAAAAGCAGCACTGAAATAATTAATATGCAAAGTTAAACAGTGTACTAAATGAAAAAAAAACCTCAAGTATAGACGACAAACAACTGAATTCATTCAAGATTTGGCAAAATGAGTTAATTACTAAAAGAGTTCATTTAGTAGAAAGAAGAGGAAAAAGAGTAGTGCACCATAACAAACTTGAAGAGGAGCTGAAGAGCGAAGCAGAGAGTGCAGGGAATACTAAATCCTCGGAACCATGATTTTTTGAGACTGGCAGAGCTAAAAGATATCAAGTTCAGATCCACTGTATTCTGCTGATAACTTTTCTAGTAAAATAATCTTCATTTGCATGGTACACACCAAAAAATTGCTCCTAATAATTTAAGGATTTAAATTATATATACTGGTAACTCAAATTTTTTTATAATATTAATAAAGGGAAGTCCGGCGCACTAAACTTCCGCTATGTGTGGAGTCTGGGGAAGGGCCAAACCACTAGGGTCTATCATACGCCACCATACCCTGCATTTTTACAAGAGGTTGTTTCCGCGGTTCGAACCCGTGACCTCCTAATCACATGGAGGCAAATTTACCAATTACGTCTTACCCTGCATTTCTGCAAGAGACTGTTTCCATGAACTCGAACTCGTGACTTCCTGATCACATGGTAATACGCCAAGGCTCCCCTTCTTTTTTATAATATTAATGTATTTAAATATGTTTTAGCAGGTAAAAATATCTTACTTTTTAGGTCATTAATCTCACTTTTTCATATAGTTTCTCGTAACTATCTTTTAAGTGACATAATAACGTAATTACATTATAAATGTATAAGAGTTAAATTCGTAATAATACAAAGGTGAAGAAAATAACCCCCCCCCCTCTAATAAGTAAAAAAAATTATATTTGTATATTGAGTAGAAAAAATCTGTATCCTATTAGATTAAGTTAACTTGCAGCAATTAGGAACTCTACATATCAATCCTGATATAATAACATGAATAATGAATTAATAATCTGTTATACCCGACTAAAATATATTTTCTCCGATTCACAATAAATAACCATTTTACCTTTTTATTTTGGTTCAAAATAAGTGTTCATTTACATAATCAAGAAGGATTTAATTTTCTTTTTTCCAAAATTTGTCCTTATTTATATATTATAATGTGTCAACATAATAATTAGTTAAGGTTAATTTAATAAATACATCTTTTTTCTCTAGGGGTTCGTATTTTTTTAATGGGTATGCCAAAGTTAAAATAGCTACTTATTATGGACCGGATGTAGTATTGATAGTAAAAAAATCACATTAAACGCATTATTAATAAAATAAATTTGAAGTACTAACTCTTTTACCTAGAAAGTTGTGCATTTTATTCCTAAATACACAGTTGGGTAAGTGGGTTTTTGTAACTTACCTCCTACTATTTCACTCTCCATGGAATCTTGGGAATAGTTTCAGTGACACTGTAACCCAAAAAATCATAGATAAATAATGATTCTTCGAATATTTTAAGGCACTGCTCCACTATATATAGAAAAAGTAGACATTTACATAAAATTTCTAGGTGTAACGGTTAGTAGCTAGGTAACAAAGGCAGCTGTAGACATCAAATGGGAGTGACACTTGGGGGGTACAATATTTAATGCAGATGTCAGTACGCGAGTTTTGGCAGTGTTGGATTAGATATATATTGCTAATAAACAAAAACAAATTCTGAGATATTTCACATGGCCAGGATGGGCATGGGACTGTTGCATTTGTTCCCTAGAGTATTCTTGTGGTACAATTTCTGGAAAAATATTAAATTGGGATGGTTGATGAGGATGACAATGATGTTGGGTCGAAAATAACAAGACGTCATGCGTAAGTTAATAATGTAAATCTTGAACAATAAATGAGACGACAAATATATATATATATATATATATATATATTAAACTAGACATAATAATTTAATATGATTTGATCAATTGACTTACGCATAAGAAAACTAATATAAAAAAAAATTATAGAGAGAAAAATCTCTCCCTAAACAAGACTCTCTTAAGGACTATATTGTGGATGTTATTGTAAAGAAGGTCTCTCAATTTATAGAGGCCAACACGTTCCTCTAAGAAAGGAACCCGTCAAATATGGAAGATATATATATTTTGCTTTTAGGAAAAGTAAAACAATTATGATTAATATTCTACTCTTCCTTCAAGCAAAAGAATAAATTCAAATAATATAAGAAAATCAGGACAAATTTCTAACAATTCTCCCACTTGACCTGAATTTTCTTGATAATGCTTGATCCGCCTTCTTCATATATTCTTCATCACTGCTGCTTGAGATAGTTAAAAATATGTATGGATTAAAAATTGGAGCCTCGTGCTTTAAAAATAGGCACTGATTAAAACTATTGGAGCCCCTACATTAAAAGTGAACAGAGTTAAAAGTAGAGTCCTACGTTTAAAGTGGGTAGGGTTAAAAATGGAGCCTATGTTAAAAGTGAGTAGGATTATATTAAATAATTTTTGTTTTTGAATATGCAGCAGCATGAGTTTTGAAACTATTTGGTTGAAAATGTTATCTACACGCGTAGTATTTTTGACATTTTTTTGTTGATAAAATCTTCATTATCGTCAAATTGGTCGTTGCTTGATATGAACTCGCCTTGGACTTGTCTTTAATCTCATTTCAACAATTGGCTCTGATACCACTTGTTGGGGTCGAAAATAACAAGGCATCATACGGAAGCTAACAATGCAAACCTTGAACGATAAATGAGACGACAAAAGAATCATATACTAAATTAGGCATAATAATTTAATATGATTTGGTCAATTGACCTACATATGAGAAAATTAATATAAACGAAAAAAATCTATTGAGAGAAAAATCTCCCCCTAAATAAGACTCTCTTAAGGAATACATTGTGGATGATCAGATGCTATTATGTTGTTGTGTGAAGGAAAGTCTCTCAATTTATAGTGGCCACAACTTTTTCCTCAAAGAAAGGAATCCGTCAAATATGGAAGAGACCTATATTTTTCTTTAAGGAATAGTAAAATAATTATGGTTAATATTCTATTCTTTTTTCAAGTAAAAGAATAAATCCAAATAAAGTAAAAAAAATTTAGAACAAATACCCTTTTTTTTTACCATAGATGGAGGTACCCTTGTCTAAGAGGCGAATTTTGGACAAATTCATTAAATTTTAATGCACCAACTATTATTTTTGACTTGAATTATTTATAATATATACATACAATGAGATTACATTTATTCTGAATATATTAATTTTGAATTTGGAATTCACTTCCGATGCCGAAAAGCAATTCATTATCTTGAGATGCCCCATTATCTTTATCTGGCTTGTTATTTAATTCAGTTTTGGATGGAGAACAGAACTCGTGGTTTGCTATTTTCTGTCATTTCTGTGCGAAACCATGTGCGCTTCTGTAATGAAGGTAAGATTAATTAGGAGAGAGTTTCTTGAGAATGGTATCTTTGACCTCAAGATATAAAAGAAATTAGATAAAAGAATAAAGTAAAATCACATTTACCTAAATATAATGTATGACTCATCCTAATATATATAGATCTTCTTTCATAGTTGAATTTATATATCCCTTAAAAATTAATAAGAATCTAAGTTTCAAATTACTGGCTTGAAAAAGATTAGTAATTAACATATTGAATTGACATAAATAAAGCTATAATTGCATTCGAGAAACTAGATAAGAATAGTTTAGTTATATTTGAAGTCTTAAACCATGAAAAGGGAGAAGAGGGAAAAGAGGATGATGACCTTGCACAACCTCCCATAGCTGCTGTTGTGGACTATCTTAGAACAAAAAACAACACAATGTCATGAAAATTGAGACACGATAATGAGCAAAAGTTTATCTGTTTACCCCAAATTGATGCATGATTGTAAAATTTCTGTTTTTTTAACCATATTTATTACTATTATTTTATTTAAAATAACTTGCTATATGTCGTAACAAGATTATAGAGGTACCATTAAGGCTCTTCGAGTGGATAAGGTCTATCAATGATAATTCAAGGTTTATGGATCAACATTTTCAACTTGCATTTTTAATAAATTTTTACACATAACTTTATGCTTCGCGGCGAAAGTACTAGGTTCAGATGAACACGACGGCATACTCTACCTCCACCCTGTTTATGGATCAGTATTTTCAACTTGCACTTTGTTACTTTTTTTTTGTTTGCTTAGTAGATAGGTTGCAACTTGCAAGATGGTTTACACGTGTTAAGGTAATTGAAGAAATGAATTTGTAAAAGATTCACACTCTTAGTCAATTACATCAATTGGTGGTAATAAAAAGAAGAAGCTAAGCCTAATTGAGAAAAATCAAGCTTGAGCTCGAACCAATTCCTGCAATGGTGATAGAGGAATTATTAGAACTGGTGAGGAAGAAGAAAGATCGAGAAAGAGGAGAAAAGGATTAGAGATAGAAAGTATGAGGAAGAAGTTGGAACTTACCCGAATCACAACTCCTGGACTGTGCTCCCAACGATGTATTTAGTAGTAACAATAATAATCTCTGCCGTTTGATCACTCTCCCTTGATCTAATCTGAGCCGCCCATCTTCACTAATGTTGAGCTCTTATTACTACTGTATGGGGTAAAATTGATCGATAACAGGTGGTCAATAATTGGTACCGTATGCGATGTGTGTGACCGGTACCATATGGATTCTGAAGGGAAAGTAGTCAGCGGTAGAAGTTCAAAGATTTGTCATCGGACAACATTCAATGAAAGAATATTTGCTATGTTAAATGAGCAACAATTACAGAGAATATTTGTATTTAAGGCCTACTGTTGCATCCTCATCAATGGTCCTTTTTATAATCATTTAAAGAGGAGCTTGATCATACGATCTTGTTTCCCTAGGTAGAACAATAAATAGTTGGGTCAACAGCCATTGTAAAGACATAAAAGATTCCACATGGAGAAGCTATACTTTACTATTTGCTCTCATACTTTACTATTCAAGCTCTCACTTTAACAGTTTCATCGTTGCTTTAACTTTACTTTCACTTTTGCTCTCGAAAAGGCTGAGTTCAAAATCAGACTTATTATCTTCTTTAATTTCAATCGCTAAGTTTAATTTCAGCCTTACTTCTTTATCATTTTGGGTTAAATCAATTCGTTTGTCTATAAATCACATTATAAATTCAATTGTACCGTTTTACGGATAAACAATTTTGCGCTCACCGTATGGCATAGATAGTTGCATAATCACTTTAATCCATACGTTTATTGCTAACAAGTGTCAGTTCTTTCCTTAGTAAAAATCAGATATGGCAGCCAATGACGTCAACAACACACACGATGTTGAAACATCCGTTGAG